AGACAGAGAATGATACCTCCCATCAGGTAGTTCAGGTCCCAAATGCCCACAATACACATCTGTTCCTATCAGGTTAAAGCCAAAGTTTATAACACATATTACTTTGTGAATCAATTAATTAACCAACAGAGCAAAGACATTTGTTGTACTGCAGAAACTTGAGTTGTAGCTAGGGACTCAAGCAGTGCACATCAGATCCAGGATTCTACTCTTGGCTGCTCTGGGTCTGATACATCTCCCTGCTAATGTGCCTGGGAAGGCAGTGGAAGATGGCCCAAGTTTTTGGATACCTGCCACCCACTCGGCAGACCCAGATGCAGTGCCAGGATCCCAGCTTTGGATCAGCCCTGATCCAGCCTTTGAGGCCACTGAACATGGAAGCCACAGGATGGAAGCATGCTCTCTCTCTCTCTCTCGCTCGCTCTTGCTCTCTCTTCCTCTCTGTGTTAGTCTGCCTTTCAAATACATAAAAGGCCATGAAAAGCAACAAATAAAAAGCAGAGAGACACAGGGAGGCAGTCAGAAGGACAGAAAGGCAGACAGAAATCTCCCATCTACCAATTCCCTTCCAATATTTCTGAAAAAGCTAAAGCTGGGTCAGGCTGAAGTCAGGCAGTGGGAGCTTAATCCAGTCTGCCATGTGGGTGGCAGGCACAGGACTGCTCTTGCTCTCATGTGCTGCATGTAACACTGTATGAGCAGGCAACTGGACTCAGACCCAGGCGCTCTAATGTGCGAGGTGGACATCACAGGAAACATCTGAGCTGCTGTACCAAATGCCCATCCCACAGCTTTAGGTTAGCAACTCTGAATTTTGAGGGCTAGCTTTGTGGTACAGCAGGAGAAGCCGCTGCCTGCCAAGCCTGCATCCCAGATGTGCACGGGTTCCAATCCAGGCTGCTCCACTTCCCATCCAGCTCCTTGCCCATGCACCTGGGAAAGCAGCAAGTGATGGCCTGAGTACTTGGGCCCCTGCTGCCCATGAAGGGGACTCGGATGGAGTTCCAGGCTCCTTGATTCAGCCTGGTCCAGCCCTAGTCATGGCTCCATTTAGGAAGTGAACCAGCCCATGGAAGTTTCTCTCTCTCTCTCTCTCTCTCTCTCTTTCTCTCTCTCTCTCTCCACTTCAAATAAATCCCTCCCTCCCTCTCTCTCTCTCTCTCCACACTTCAAATAAATAAATAAATAAATCTTGCAAACTAATTAAATAAAATAAGCATGTGATGGCATCTCCAAATGCCAGCAATATCCACTGCTGTCCCTATCATGTTCAGTCTCATCCTTGAAATGTATATTAAGTAATATAAATTAATTTATTTAAAAGACTGAGAGGAGCTTAACCTTTTAGCTGGCCTAGGGTGTTAATCCTCACCTTGCAACTCCCACATCACATATGAGTGCCAGGGTTTGATTCCTAGTTCCTTTGCTTCAGATCAACTCCCTGCTAACGTGCCTGGGCAGTCGAAGGAGGATAGCCCAATCACTTGGGCCTCATGCCTCCCAAAGGGGAAACTTGGATGTAGTTCTGGGTTCCTGCCTCCAGCCTGGACCAGTCTCATCCTTTGCAGCCATTTGTGGAGTGATCCAGTGGACAGATGTCCTTCTCTTTCTTTCTCTTTCTCTCTATCAGTCTGCCTTTCTTCAAATTAAAATAAATCCTTTAAAACAATAAAGGAGGGGCGGGTTAATGCCCTGGCCTGAAGTGCTAGCATCCCATATGGACTCTGGTTCTAGTTCCAGCTGCTCCACTTCCAATCCAGCTCTCTGCTGTGGCCTGGGAAAGCAGTAGAAGATGGCCCAGGTCCTTGGGCTCCTGCACCCATGTGGGAGACCTGGAGAAGACTCCTGGCTCCTGGCTTCGGATCGGCGCAGCTCCGGCCACTGAGGCCATCTGGGGAGTGAGCCAGTGGATGGAAGACCTCTCTCTCTGTCTCTACCTCACTCTGTAACTCTTTCTTTCAAATAAATAAAATAAAATCAATCTTAAAAATAATATAGGAAAGGTAGAGAAACAGAGAGATAGTCAGACAGAGAGAAATCAGGTGCCTGCCTCATCTACTGGAGTGCCTGAGTCTGGGTTCAATACCCGTCTGCTTCCTCCCTCCAGATTCCTACTAATGCAGATCCTATGAAGCAGCAATGGTGACTCTCCTTAGTGGATTCCTGCCATGCATAGAAGAGACCTGGATTGAGTACCTGGCTCCCATCCTCAGCCTGGTCCCAGCCCCTGCCTTTGCAGGCATCTGGAGAGTGAAGAAATAGATGGGAGTGATCTCTCTCTCTCTCTCTCTCTCCCCCTATCTCCCTCCCTTCCTCTCTCTCCACGCTGCTCAAATAATTTTTTTAAAGATTTATTTATTTATTTAATAGTCAGAGTTACACAGAGAGAGGAGAGGCAGAGAGAGAGAGAGAGGTCTTCCATCCGCTGGTTCACTCCCTAGATGGCCGCAATGGCTGGAGCTGTGCCAATCCGAAGCCAGGAGCCAGGAGCCAGGAGCTTCTTCCGGGTCTCCCACGTGGGTGCGGGGCCCAAGGACTTGGGCCATCTTCTACTGCTATCCCAGACCATAGCAGAGAGCTGGATCGGAAGAGGAATAGCTGGGAATAGAATTGGCGCCCATATGGGATGCCGGCGCTTCAGGCCAGGGTGTTAACCCACTGCGCCACAGCGCCGGCCCCTCAAATAATTTTTTAAGATTTATTTATTTATGGGGCCGGCACCGTGGCTCACTTGGTTAATCCTCCGCCGGGTTATATGGGTGCCAGGTTCTAGTCCCTGCTGCTCCTCTTCCAGTCCAGCTCTCTGCTGTGGCCCAGAAGGGCAGTGGAGGATGGCCCAGGTCCTTGGGCCCTGTACCCGCATGGGAGACCAGGAGGAAGCACCTGGCTCCTGGCTTTGGATCGGCACAGCGTTGGCCGTAGCGGCCATTTGGGGGGTGAATCAATGGTAGGAAGACCTTTCTCTCTGTCTCTCTCTCTCTCTCACTGTCTATAACTCTCCCTGTCAAATAAATAAATAAATACAAATTTTTATAAAGATTTATTTATTTATTTGAAAGGCAGGGTTACAAAGAGAGGAGGGAGAAAGACAGACAGACAGACATACCTTCCATCCACTAGTTCACTCCCCAAATGGCCACAATGCCTGGGGTTGGACCAGACTGAAACAAGGAGCCAGGAACTTTATCCAAGACTCCCAAAGGGATAGCAGTAGCCCAAGGACTTGGGTTATCTTCTGCTGCTTTTCCAGAAGTACTAGCAGGGAACTAGATATGAAGTGAAACAGCTGGGACAAGAATTAGTGCTCATATGGGATGACGGCATTGCAGGCTGCAGCTTAACCTGCTGTGCCACAATGCCAGCCCTGATAATTTATATAAGATTTACTTACTTACTTATTTATTTATTGAAAAGAATTATAGAGAGAGGAAGACACAGAGAAACCTTCCATCTCCTGGTTCACTCTCCAAAGGACCATGAATCCAGGAGTCGGGAACTTTATCCTGGTCTCTCACGTACATGGCATGGGGTCTCAGCACTTTGGCCATCTTCCGATGTTTTCCCAGGCACATTAGCAGGGAGCTGCATTGGGAGTGGAGCAGCTGGGACTCAAAGCAGTGCCCATATGGGATGTCGGTATTGCAGGTGGTGGTCAGGTCTTCCAAAAGCCAATTCAGCTATTAATACATAGAGTGCCCTGTCCTTGAAATATTTCCTGAGTCTGGAGACAAACATGGGGGAGGTGGGCTAGAAAACCCAGCGGTGCTGGATCTCAAACCCTAGGTTTAGGGAGACCCAGCTGAGGGCCAGGTGAAAGGGGAAGAAGCCTGAAGTAGTTCAAGAGGGAGAGTAGAACCCTCAATGTCACAATTTGTAAAAACTGCCCAGGGACTGCTGTTTCCCTCCAAATCCTTTGCCCATGCTCCACTTCTGCCCCGACCGCATAATTTGTTCCTTTGAATTAAGACATTAGTGAAACAGTTTTTTAAAAAAAAGTATGGAATTTGTAGCTGAACTCACTTTTATGATCATTGACAAGCTGCCTGAGTTCCCCGGGGGGCCTGGGTCTTCTGTGTAAAAAGCGGGAGTGATAATAATAACGGTGGTTATGCACATAAAAGTAGGATAAATTATGTACAGGGCAAGCCCACTGTTAGAAGCTAGTCTCATAATATTAAGGATATTAGCACATTCTGGAGTAGCTGGAAACACTTTTTGGAGCCTGGCCGTTTTAATTTTCAGGAATCAGTGTGACATGCGCACTCTGAAAGTGGGGGAGGGGAGGCACAGCTGTAGTGTGCAACGCTAGAAAACAGACCAGACCCGGCAATAGCGCGTGGCCTTTATGCACTTGCAGAGCGAGGTTTTGCAAAGTAAGCAAAGTAAGGAGTATAAGCACTGTTGGGCGCACTAAGCACTTAGTGCATATCTTACACTTGCATCACTAAGCATGCAAAGTCCTTGCAGCTTTCCCAAGACGCACGTCGAGTACAGTGAGCCCCTGAGAACACGGTGTTCTTTGCAAACCAAATTGTAAACTTGTGTCCCTGGGATGCACATTAGGCGCCAATTTCAAAAATCCACAACTACCTGCTAGCCAATCACTGCACCTTACCACTAGCCTGCCACGTGGAGTTTTGGCGCGAATGGCACCGAACAAGACTTTTCTATCCATTAGTCACCAATTCCTTCTAGGAGGGCAGAGGCATGCTCAGAATAGACTAAAAACTTCATTTAGCATGCTTGGGCTATGGACAGGTGAACGCTTTCCCCCTCCCATCTCGGGATTTTTCCTTCCTGGAAGTACAGAACACCACGCCACGTGCGGACTACTGTACGCGGACAGTTGGGCGGAGGAACATTTCCCGCTCTTTCTGAACCGCGGAAGCTAGTTCGAGCCGCTGCCAGACTCCCCCAAATCGCCTTTTGCAATCCAGCAGAAGCCCCTTCCTCCAGTTATGCACTCTCCCCGAGTTGGGACTAGTTAAAACCGCAAGTTCGAGCCACTGTCACCCGCACCACGGTTGCACATACACGCCCTATTTTATTTGCACGCCGCGAACGCATCCCAACGGGTGTGCCTCATAACAACTTAGATACAGTAAATGCCACTGAACGCCCGTGTTTGCCCTTGAAACCTGAGCGGGGCACCGTACCGGGCCTATATAAGGGCCGCAAGTTCCAGCCGGCGCCACAAAGAGGTTCCAGCGCAGCAAGCGACCAGGCAGCTGACTCCCAGCCGGAGTCCCGCTTAAGCTCACAGCTTCATCGACAGCACTGCGGCATGGAGCCTGAGTCCAATTGCAGCCAGTGGGACCCTGGCTCAGGCAGCTTGGTAACCATCAAGCAAGAAGAAGAACTACCTGGTAAGTGCCTGGACGGGGACTTGTGCTTTGAGAAACTAGCCGAGAGGAACTTTCCCGGAGGGAGGCGGACGGACGCGGCCCTGCGGACCCGCCGCCACTGCTCTTCCTCTAATAGCCTTTCTATTCCTCCTGCTCACACACCGAGGGCTCCAACGCCCTGGTCTCTCATTTGCTTTCCCCTTGCCCAGACGAGCAGCCTACCACCGTGACCTCGGTGATTCCAGAGGCAGGTGACCGCCAGGAGGATGCAGAGTCCGAACTCGAGCGCAGAGCAGCAGTGGAAAACTGCTTTGGCGTGGGAAGATACGGCCTCTGGGGCGACCAAGAGGAGCAGGGGCTGCAGCAGCCAGCCCCCGCGACCCCCATGGCCGCCGAGGCTCCGGAGGCGGCCGCGGAGGCGGCCGCGGAGGCGCCAGAGTTACCGGAGAGGAAGCAGCGCCGCTATCGCAACGTGTACACCCAAGTGCAGGTGCAGGAACTGGAGCACTTTTTCCGCCGCATTCAGTACCCCGACGTGTTCGCTCGGTAAGTGGTCTGCTCCCGGGCGCCCGGTTCTCTTGGGAGCCCCGGTCATTCCCGAACGCCTTCAGCTCTTTCTGAGGACCCTACCCCTTTTCCCCTTCTGTCCGCTCCCTTAACCCTTCCCCTCTCCTCCCCTGGTTCCCCCTCCCCTAATCCTTCTCCCCTCCTCCCCTCGTTTCCCCCTCCCCTAACCCTTCCCTCCTAACCAACGCTTACCCCCCCTTCCCCAACTCTTCTCCCTCCCCTAATCCTTCTCCCCTCCTCCCCTCGTTTCCCCCTCCCCTAACCCTTCCCTCCTAACCAACGCTTACCCCTCCCTTCCCCAACTCTTCCCCCTCCCCAAACCCTTCCCCTCTCCTCCCCTGGTTCCCCCTCCCCAATCCCTTCCCTCCTAACCAATGCTTACCCCTCCCTTCCCCAACTCTTCCCTCTCCCCTAACCCTTCCCCTTCTCCTCAGCCAAAAACTACCTAATGGGCTCAAAGGCATTGCTTTTTGGGCTCTGGGTTTGCAGTAGGCAATGATAGCTAAGAAACTGGGAAACACTAGGGTAAAGCAAGTGTAGCAGGGTCGGATCCTGATTTTATTTAATTTGTTTGAAAAAAAAATATTTATTTCAAAGGCAGACTTAGAA